CCGGCCTGTTGGGGAACGTAATCAAATAAAATAAAAAAATAAAAAATTTAATTGTAATAGTTCATTCATTACCTGATCAACATTAAAATCAACAAAATTCAAATCAATCTCAGGATTATTCTTAAAATAGTCAGTAGGGAGCAACTTAGGATTCGCATACACAGAAGAAACATAACAAGCAAACACATTAACAATATTACTGCAACCTTGAAATACATCATTATTGAAATACTTAGTACTAGGAATTTCATTACTTCTGTTATGATCACTAATAAATTTCCAAAATTGCTTAGAATCAGTATAAATCAAGGATTCAGCACGATCAATATAACTACTATATGAACGGTTAATAGCATGCTTACATTAGTCTCTAACAATGGAAACATTAACATAATCCACAAATTTATGTAACATTTAAAATGCGCGGTGCGCAACGAGGGGGAAGCGACGGCGGGAGAGAAAAAAAGGAGAGGTGATAAGTCGGTACGATAAATGACGGCATTTTGGAGAGGCGAGAAAATCGGTGCCGAGCGGTGGAAATACGAAAAGGACGAAAAAGGACGAAAAAGGACGAAAAGGACAAAAAGGACGAAAAGGACGAAAAGGACGAAAAAGGACGAAAAGGACGAAAAGGACGAAAAAGGACCAAAACAAACTAAAAGGAAGAAAAAGGATAAAGACGAAAAAGGACGAAAAGGAACGAAAAAGGACGAAAAGGACGAAAAAGGACGAAGAAGGACGAAAAAGGTCGAAACAGGACGAAAAGAACGAAACAAGACGAGAAAGGACGAAAAAGGACGAAAAGGACGAAAAGGACGGGAAGGACGAAAAAGGACGAAAAAGGACGAAACAGGACGATAAAGGACAAAAAGGACGAAAAGGACGAAAAAGCACAAAAAGGACGAAATGGACGACAAGGACGAAAAAGAAGGAAAAAGGGCGGAAGAGGACGAAAAGGACGAAAAGGACGAAAAGGACGAAAAAGGACGAAAGAGGACGAAAAAGGACGAGAAGGACCAAAAAGGATAGCAAGGACAAAAAAGGACGAAAAGGACGAAAAAGGACAAAAAAACGAAAGGGACGAAAAAGGACGAAAAGGTTAATAATGACGAAAAAGGACGAAGAGGACGAAAAAGGACGAAATGGACGACAAGGACAAAAAGAACGAAAAAGGACGAAAAATGACGAAGAAGGACGAAAAGGACGAAAAGGACGGGAAGGACAAAACAGGACGAAAGAGGACGAAAAAGGTCGAAACAGGACGAAAAGGACGAAAAAAGACGTGAAAGGAAGAAAAGGACGAAAAGGACGCAGAAGGACGAAAAAGGACGGAAAGAACGAAAAGGACGGAATGGACGAAAAAGGACGAAGAAGGACGAAAAGGACGTAAAGGACGAAAAAGGACGATAAAGGACGATAAAGGACGAAAGAGGACGAAAAAAGAAGAAAAAGACGAAAAAGGACGAAAAGGACGAAAAAGGACGAAAACAGATTGCTACAAACGATGCATTAGATCAGTTCGCATTGTGAGAGCAATACTCACGTAAGTCAAAATTTGCCGAATTCTTAAATTTATTATTAATGCATAAAAAGTTAATGTAGTTTTAGTATATGTAAGTATAAACGGTTTTTAATAGTTGCGTAATGTTCAAATTCATCAAAATGTTTGTACTGCATTTCCGAAAATTACGTGTGCACTTAATGCAAGACTGCCATATCTCAAAAATAAGTGAAATGCAAGTAAGCTATGAAGCTATGAGATTTCGGTCGATGTTGATAATCTGATACTCCTACTAATTTAGGTACAAATTGAACACAGCAAATGCACAATGTCTTCTGATATAGTTAAGAATTGACCGAAAACATGGAAATCAATTTTTCTTTGAATAGGAAAGGTAGGAAGGTTAATTAGAGCGAAATAAAAAATTTAAATAAATAGTTTTATTCTCGTCCATTATTCATTATATTGTTTGTTTATTTTTTTTTTCGGGACTCAATAAAAAATTTAAAATTTGTAGAGATGTACCGACTATAGTCGGCCGACTAGTCGGCTTTGCTAAAACCGGTCAAAATTGGTTTAATCGACCGAAAATTGGTGTCAAAGTGTAGATAATCTTCCGCTAGTTACGATTCTGAAATCGCCGTCACGATATCTGGTCCAATAAACACGCAAAGCGAATTCAAAATTTCCAATAATTTTCCAAAAAAGTGGTTAAAATTGGTTAAAGTATTGTATAAGCTGCCCTAAATTGTGTTATTTTTTATTTTTGTACTGAGTTACTACAAAAAATTAAATGTTAAAATTATCCAAACAAATTTAACACATTTTTTGGAAAACAAAGAAACGTTAGTTATTCCTTTTATTAAAATATAACTACTTCTTAAGGTAGTCAGAGAAATAGAAAAAAAAAACACACTGTCTGTTGCTTTTATAAACCGGTTTTAGCAAAGCGGAATAGTCGGCCGACTATAGTCGGTACATCTCTAAAAATTTGTCAAAAATTCCGATGGAATTTTGTAACTTCGTATAGAAAGGAAGTATATCAGGAAATAACAGTCAATCAATTCCCGAACATCACGACAACGGCGGCATCAGACTTAAATGAAAATGATTAAACAATATTTATGAAGGTCCTTTAGCAATGCGTAAAAAAATACGATGGACTGAATCAATTATGTATACAAAAACGAATTAAATAAAATTATAACACATTTTACAACAATATTAGTAGATGTTGAATGAATTAATACTGTGATTGTTTTGTGTTTTGTTATATTTTTTTCATTACAATGTGTTGCTAGTTTGCTCTTGTCTTAAATTTATTAACACGCAAGCCAAAATATTTGATATGGTGTACCAGTGCAATAGTCAAGTAAGTCAAAATTTCTTGTTTTCTATAACGAGTAGAAGGTTCTACTCTAAAGGAATAAAAACACGATTAATAATAGATTGACAATACGACTATAATGTATTTCGAAGCCTGCGGTATTTAAGATACAAATAATATATAAAAACTTGGGAATTTGAAATCATCATTACTCAAAACATTCTGGTTTTGAGTTACGTGAGTATTGCTCTCACAGTGCGAGTTAACTAGCTCATGTGTTCACTAAATGAATTATAATTATTAATAATTTAACCCAATGTAATTTTGTTAAGAATTCCACTCTACATATGTTTCGGACGATACGCATCATCCATCTTTAGGTATAAATGTCACCATACCAGTGACTAATCGTGAGGTAAAATTTGGTAAAGATGGAGACACTAACGAGAGTGCAAAATATAATTGTAGACAAGATAATAATGTACGGTTACATGATGCAACAATTAGTAGACTAGTCACAAATTCGAACCATTACAGACGGTAATGAGGCATGTGAACTTTTTCATCAGGAATAAGATACATTGTTAAACCATTGTGTCCAGTGAACTTATCAAAATACGCTGTACCGTATAGTACTTCATCAATTGTTAAGAATATAAAACTAAATCAACACCCGTGGAAGTGTATAATTATAAAAAACCCGGGTTGGATAGAGATGTGACTAAGAGTTAATTCATTGAGAAACCGCATCAAAACAGAGCTAAATAACGCTCACAGAGGTTTCATCAATACGGGTGAAAATGATATTAAAACAAATACAAAGAATTTATGGACATATTTTAATTTAAAGAAAAATTGTACAAACGTGCCCTGAATTATGTCCTTGAGAAAGCAGTTGACCTCGTCCCAGCAAATTGTTGAAAGTTTCGCATGATTCTTTAGTTCTGTTTTCGTTAGTGATAGTGACTTTAATATAAATTTAAGTGATAATATTGTTTGTGATAATTTAAAAATAGGTGATACCAGCTGTGTGCCTACCCTCCATAATTTTGTGATAACTGACGATAATATCTTCCAAGCAGCAAACAAATTTAAATCAAATTGCACAATGGTCTGGATAACATCTTATCATTTTTAGTGCAAAATTGTATTATTGTTTATCTATGCACTTTTGTTATATAAGTATTTAATCAGATTATTAGTGAAACCACTTTCCTTAATAAGTGGAAAGTATCAAAAGTTATTCCACTTCACAAATCAGGCTTCAGATATAAGGTCGAATTTTATAGATCTATCGGTTTAACTTCGCTTCCATTTTTAGAAAAACCTACCAACATTGAAAATATTGTTGAATTGATAAATGACAAATTAAACATATTATTTTTCAAACAGTATTAACCCCCGCAAAGCTTGGAATTTATCTGGAGTTAACAGAAATTTTATTAACGTCAACATTAATCTCAAATTTCATAAGAATCAGTTTAGTAGTTTTTGACATTATTGTTTAGTAAAGTCACCTTAGTAAAGGTAAGCTTAGGAAATTAAAAAAAGATATCAGAAAATTTTAATTGAAAGTAACGAGCGATCAAACAAAAACATCTCTAGCTACTTCTTGATGCTCAAATGTTTTCTGAACTTGCGGCGTAGCTAACGTTTAGAATAATTTGAGGTTAGACTGACAGGTTAAATATTAACAGAGAGTTTACAGATGAGAGCAATGACAGAAGTGACAGAAATAGTTTGGCATTGACAGATGTGCAATGTACGATGTTAGCTGCGCCATACGTTCAAAAAATATTTGCCTCTCGAGTAGTAACTATAGGTGTTTTATTTTGATCGCTCGTTATGTGTCTTATTCCGTTCAGAATGTTGATGCAAAATGATTAGATAATGCTTTTAAAAACAAGCCAATAAATGAGCAATCAATGATTTTGAGTGTCATATATTACTTAACTTAAGTAATCAATTTTATTTATTTAATTACCTATAATTTCAACAAAAGTTCAAAACAATATAATTATTTTGACAGATGACACATTAACCAAGTCCAAAAACGTCATAATGTCATTTAGGAAATCTTTGTAGTGATATAACGTCTGTGTTTTAGTTTCCACAAATATATATAAAAAAAATAGCGGTTGAAAGTAATGAATTACTTTTGCGAAGCAACGATTTAGTTTAGTTTAACTGATTGTAATTTTATTTTATGTATGAACTGCAAGTAAATAAATCTACACATCAAAACGTGCTAACAACGCTGCAACCGGCTGTTTAATTTCGATCAAGTTCTTCACTTCTTTGGACAGAAATATTTGGAAACTTGTTAACTTCCCCAAAACTTGTTCCAGTTGATGCTAATTTTTTTTAAGCTTGATGTGTCGACCTTTTGGCATGTTAAGTGTCTACATTTTTTCAGAAACGTCACCCAAGTGATGTATGTTTTCCGAAAGTATTTTCGATACTTTCTGAGGCCCCGCACATAAGAATAAACACTTGAGCATTTCTGATAAATTATATGGTTCCGTGCCATCAAAACGATGCAAACTTTTCTCTATGCAACTTCCGTAGTAGACTGCTGTGTTGAAAATACTCCTGTAGTCTAGCACTTTGTTATTAGTTAATTTGATATGGATATCCAAAAAAAATTCTTTCATTTTAATTAACTCTTCATCTTCTAAAATTTGAAATAACATTAGTCAAGCATACCTAATGGTCTCTTTGGTAGGTACTTATTGTAACTGCTTACTTAAATTATTGTCGACGATTTCGTATGTTGGTAGCTGTTCCAGTTTTGTTTTCGCCGTGTTGATTAATTTCTCGATTTCCACAGATTTTCTGCCTTCGTTTTGTTTTACACGCTGTAGGTAACTAGTTAGTATTTTCTGAAGATGACCCTTCAAGAAACTAGAAATTTTTTCTTCGTCTGTGTTAAATCTCGCAATGAGTGTTTTTGTGTCATATTCGATTCCTTCTAGGTTCGCCATGCCTAAATTATACAATAAATAATGTATTTTGGTTAAACGTACATTTTTATACTTTACCTGCTTATCAAGTAAGTGGTTGTTCTGTAGTAACTGTTGGTAATTCTATGAAATTCGTTTACGTGTCCTAACAGTGAAAACAGACTCGAACAATTTGTTGACAAATGGAAATTGTTAAAATTTGGAAAGAAATGATTTAGTTTGAAAGTCTTTCAAATCTGTACAGAAAACGCAGAAACTCTGCAGAATTGTCGGTGCTCTACTTACTATTAAAGGTTAACTTGTTATCGCTCTGATTAGATTAGATAGAAGCCTGTGGTATATTAAATTTCCAAAAAATAGCAATAAAAAATCAAAATGTTTGGTAAATTTGACCCAAAATTCAAACAGAATGGTTAGTATTAACCCCTAAAATATTTTTACTTTGTTGAATATACTATGTTATAATATTTCTAACTTGCAAAAAAATCTAAGCTATAGCAGGTAACAGCAATAGAACGAGTAGAGTAAAAATTTCTCTTGTTTGTTACTTAAAAATACAATGCAAAAGTTTAACAAAATACTATCTAAAAAATTAAAAGTCGCATTTTATATTTGAACTCGCTGACAGGGGTAAACTTGGTTTCACCTACAATTTAATTTTGAATCTGCAAAACCGAATGCTTTGAAATCTTGCAGATATTTTAAACATATGATAAGCATAATAAATTTTTATTCAAAATACATTTACTTACCCCCTTCAAAAAATTGATGACGTCAGCCCAAAATTTTGCCAAATGAATTCTATCTAAAATGTCCAAAATAGGATGAGACTATACTTGTGATTTATCATTCCATTCATGTTTTTTAGTTTTGCTTATAGGGGGTGCCTCAAAAAAAATAGTCACTGAGTCAATTTATTTTATTGATTGAATCAAGAATTGCAAAACTGAATTTTGAAATATTGCAGACGTTTTGAAGTTACTGTTTGACATGGTAGGTTTTTAATCAAAATATATCTGTTTATCAAGCCGAAAAACTTTATGACGTCATCTCAAGATTTTGCTGAATATATCCCACCTAAAATGTGCAAAATATCATCAGTCTATTTTCGTAATTTATCATTGCATTCATATTTTTTAGATTTGCTTTTACAGTGACTCAAAAAAAATATTTGGATCAGTCAATTTATTTTAGTGAATAACTCAAGAGTTGCAGAAATGAATACTTTGAGATCTTGCAGACGTTTTAAAGTTATTGTAAGAATGGTAAATTGTTAAGAATATTTATTTATTCCCCCCAAAAAATTGATGGAATGGCTCACTGGAAAATTTAGGGTTATATATATTTTTTGATGCCAAATCTTAAAAAAATAAAAATAAAAAATTTTGTCTAAAAAATAAACAAAAACTTTTTAGAGTGGGCCACCCTTATCACTTAGGGGTATAAAAATAGTTTCAAGCTATTCTCAGACCTACCGAATATACACGAAAAATTTCATACAAATCGGTCAACCCGTTTCGGAGGAGTTCGCTTACAATCACTGTGACGCGAGAATTTTATATGTAATGCATTATTATTTTAGAACAAATTTCATTACCACTTTTCTTTAGAACTTTTAGAGGGGAACAATTTTAACCCACATGATTTTTACGTAACTTTAACCGTTTAAGCAGCGTAAGCAACGGAAGCTGTCAAAGGAGGAATAATTTCCCCGTTTTTCCGAATTTATTTTTTATTGCTACTTCGCTCCCATTGATTGTAGCGTGATGTTATATAACCTATATGTAGATCCGATAAATGGACTATCCAACACAAAAAGATTTTTTGAATTCGAACCAGTAATTTTTGAGATTAGCGCATTCAACCAAACAAACACTTCAGCTTTATAATATAAGTATAGATTATAGGTGTGTAAAGATATATCTGAGTTGAATTTATAGTACCTATTTAGTGATTAGTATGTACTTAATAAGATATCAAAGTGAAAAACACGCCACCGTAGAAACAGTCAAAGTTTATTTTTAGTATGCTTTATCAATGCATGTTTGCGAAAACAAACCTGAGATAAAGTATGCATGCTGGAGACAAAAGTAATAATCTGCGACAAGATGAATTTCGATCCTCTTGAATTGTAAAAAAGTCTGTTGTATATATATTAAAAAAATGGAATTTAAAACGACGGTCGAGGAGATTTTTTACGACTCATTTGGGCATTTAATCTTTCTAGTCGCGCATATATCGCGACGAGAGCTTCAATTCAGCCTAAGCGAGCAACGCGTCCTGAGTGTTAGAAATCAAGTTTACGGAAACCAGACATATTTTAAACAAGTTTGCTTTTAAATTTTCAGTTTTAAGAGAGTGAATCATTACAAATTATAGTACGTTCAATAACACATATATTTTTTATTTCTTGTTTGAAATGAGTAAATATTATCTATGGTTGATTCCCAACTGAGCCGGCAAACCGAAAGGACGTGTGCGTAGGAGTTCATGTGCGAAATTTCACACCAGTGACAATATAGGCAATATTAAAGCTGAATTAAAAGGAAACCGGCATTAATTCACTAAAATACTAATAGGTACAATCGAGGAATCAGGACAGATATCGGATAACCGTAAACCGCCGTGAAGGAAGTTAGAGACAAAGAGGTAATGAGTAGTGAAGAGACAGAAAGAAAGAAAAGGGATAGAGAAGTATAGTCGCCAGAAGAGAAAGAGCAGGTCTTCCAAAGAAGCAAAATAACAGTAACATTACCTCTGCAATCGATAAAGAAGAAAAATCAAGGAAATATAGAGATGGAGGAGGTCAAGAAGATGATCAGCGAACTTGCGACACAAATCAGAGATGATATGAGAGAAAGTAATAAACAATTATTGAAGGAATGGAATATACGGCTTAAAGAGGAGCTTAAAACAATAAGAGAAGAATTAAAACAAGCAAGAGATCAACTACATGAGCAAAATCAAGAAATTAGAGAAAAGCATGAAGAATAGAAGCGAGCTAAAAAAGAAATGGGAAAGAGAGTGCGTGAAGTAGAAAGTCAACTAGATCGAATGGAGAGAGAAAAGAGGAGAAACAAAGTAGTGATGATGGGATTGGAAATAGGAGCAGGAGAGCAGAAGCAGATAATTGGAAAGAGGAATTTAGAAGAGAAAGGCTGAGTAGAGAGTAAAGTTAAAAGCTCGTACAAAATTGCAGAGAATGTTTATGTAGTGGAATTCGAAAATAGAGAATAAAAAATAAATGTAATGAAGAGCAAGAAGAACTTAAAAGGGTCGTTAATTTACATAAATGATGATCTGACGTAAACGGAAAGAAAAATTCAAATCAAAATAAAAGAAGAGGCAACAAAAGAGAGAAATAAAGGAAAAATGGTTAGAATGGGATATAAAAAGTTAACTCTAGATGGCAGAAATTTTGAAGAGCCTAAAGAAAAGGAAGAAAATAAGGAAAAATGGAAGGAAACAAGGCAAAGGAAAAGGAATAAAAGATGCACGTAGGGAAATGGAAAAAGGAAACTGGTACAAATCACGAGAAAAAGGGGTGAAGGTTTTGGAACGTCCAAGGGTGGCGAAAAATGAAAAAGGAGTTCTGGGACTAAGTGGGAAAATTTGATGTGGTGGGGCTAGTAGATACATGGGTACAAAGAGAAAACTGAGAGAAATTTGAAGAAACACTACTACAAGAATATGTATAAGAGTGTCTAAGGTCGACAAAGGAAAAAAAAAGGGGAGAGCAAGCGGGGGAATAGTAATGGGAATTCGAAAAGAAATGCCGGAATTGGAAAAGGGAAGTAATAATAAAAACGGACTAATGAAGAACGTAATACAGCTGGATAACAATCGGTGGGAAATAATAACCGTTTATAGCAAGGAAATGAAGAAAACTAAGATAAACATTGCAAAGAAAACAAAAGAAAAAGGGGACGAAAAAATACTTATAGGAGGGGATTTTAACTCAAGACTGGGCGATAAGGCGACAAGAATAATAGATAAAGAAAAGGAAGAGAAAAGAAGATTAAAATACAAAGTAAATAAGAAAAAGGCAAAATATTGTGGAAGATAATAGAAGAAATGGGATGGAAAATTTTGAATGGAAACAAGGAAGGAGATAAAGAAGGAGAATGGACGTATGAGATTGTCAACGAAGAGGCGTGGTAAGAAGTAGAGAGTTTCAAAGTGGGGGAAAGGGTAGAATCAGAGTACATGCCACTAGAAATAAAAATCAAAGGAAAAGGGCAAGAGTACGAAAGAATAGAAATAGAAAAAAGAAAATGGGATGAAGAGGGAATTCAAAGAAACAGAAGTAGACTAGAAAAAAAGAAATTCGAAGTAAAAGAAGATATAGAAGCTATGACAGCAGAACTGACCAACTCAATTGTAGAAGCTGCGGAAAAAAGAAAGATATACATATGGCAAGGGAGAAATAATGGATGGAACGGAGAATGTAGTGATTTGAAGAGAAAAGCAAAGGAAAAATTAAGAAAATGGAAAAATAACAGGGGAAGGAAGGAGAGTACTTAAAAGCAAGAGATAATTATAGGAGAAAATGTGAAGAAAGAAAAAGAGAAAAACGAGAAGAAGAAGAAGAGAAGATAATAAAGTTCCTGAAAACAGAAGAAGTATGGAGATATATAAACATGGAACGGAGAAGAAAGACTGAAGTCAGTAGGAAAATCAAAATATATGAATGGAAAACACAATTTATGGAATTATTGGGAGGTTGTGAGGAACAATGTTGCAAAATAAATAAAGGAATCACAACGACGGAAGAAATGTGGATAGGTGCGGAAATAACAGAAGATGAAATAAGAAGACAGATTGAAAGACTGAAAAGAGGAAAGGCACCTGGAGGGGATGGAATCCAGAACGAAGCGTGGATGTTCGGGACAGAAGAAGTGAAAGAAAAGATATGAGAAGTGGTAGATGGAGTTTGGAAGGGAGAGAAGGTATAATAATCCCATCACTTAAAAAGGAGCAAAAAAGTGATATGAAGAACTTCCGAGAGATCACCATGCTCAATACGGCGTACAAGATATACACAATGATACTAGAGGAGAGGTTACGAAAGAAGAAGATGAAAGCAGGGGTATCTTACCAGACGGTCAGGCAGGGTTTAGGAAAGGAAGAGGTACTATGGACAATGTGTACATCCTGCGACATTTAGGGCCGGTTTATAGAACAGAGAGTTAAATATTTAATCCTCGAATAGTTTAACAGAGAACTAAAATGTGGAATATGAGCCCGTGATTGGTCAAAACATGCGCGTTGCCTCGCAACGGACCTCAATTAAAAGTTAATCGCGAATTAACTTTAACTTCGCTTTCTATAAATCGTGTCTTAGTGGGAAGAGAAATAAGAAAAGAAGGTGGACGAATGTATGCATTGGTCATAGATTTCAAAGCAGTGTTTGATAGCGTGAATAGAGAGAAACTGTGGGAGTATTTGAGGAGAATCTGGTAACGAAAATGGAAGAAATATATGAAAAAACAGTAAGTAAGGTGAGAGTGAATGGAACAGAGAGCGAGAGTTTTTATACAAATAGAAAAGTGAGACAAGGATGCCCACAAAGCGCCGCATTGTTTGCAATAGGTGAAATGTTCAGAAAAGCACAGACAGGAGGGGTGGTAGTGGGCGTACGCAGATGATTTGGTGATTGTGGTAAAGAAAACAGAAGAAATGAAAAGCAATGATTAAAAGTTTCAAGAAGTATGTACAAAAAAAGGAATTGCAAGTGAATATGGAAAAAACAAAAATGGTGGTGTTTGGAAAGAAAGTAAGAAAGGAGAAAGCGAACAAAGTGATAGGAATAGTATGAGGAATAGGAGAGAGAAACAGACATGATTATAAGAGAAGAATGATGATGTTTGATAGTTTGATCAAAAGTGTGTTTATGTACGGAGCTGAGATTTCGGGATGAAGGCAATGTGAAGAAATAGAGAGAGTGAAAGAAAAATACATAAAATGGACATTGGGATGGAAAAGTATACGCCGGGGTATATAGTGAGAGAAGAAACAAAAAGGGAGAAAATGAGAGTGAAAGTGAGTAAACGGGCGGTTGGATTTGAAGAAAAGTTTAGTGAGAGAGGTGATTGTAAAATATTGCAAGAACGTTGGAAAGAAATAAGAAAGGAAAGGGGAAACATGTTTGGAAAGAAAGAGACAAGTATTATGAAGGAAAGGGATATGCATGTGAAGAAATAGAGAGAATGAGGGAAATGGGAAGGAGTATCATAGAAGAACTGAGTGTAAGAGATCAGGATATAGATAAGCAAGAACGCAGATCGAGAATATCGGAGTCTAGATATAATGCAGAGTATGGAAAAATAGTAAAGGATGAAGTACCAAAGTACAGACACAGAGAGAGTATAAAGGAGAAAAGGATGATGGCGAGATTTAGGTGTGGAAATGAGGTGAAAGAGAATTATTTTTGGATGGATGAAATTGACAGAAGGTGTAGGATATGTTGGAGAGAGGGAGAAACAATAGAGCATTTGCTGGAAGGATGTGAAGGATTGAGAGAATTGGAGGAAAGTAGGGAAGAAGTGCTAAACGAGGATGGAAGAAAACTGGACTGGATGAAATAAGTACGGAATATAAGGGAACTAAGACAAGAGGTGGGCAAGCAGAAAGAATGGAACAATTGTTATTAGATAAAACCCGAATATTTATTTTATTTATTTATTTATTTATTTATTGGTTTATTTGTATTATGTAGATTAAGTTAATTTGTACCCCTAATGGGAATCTTATTAAGCCTTATAAATTTTGACCATCTACATGCTCATTCCTCATTCTAAAGACAAAAACGTTCAGTTTTCGAAATACTGTTTACTATTATGTATAAAGTGTTAAAAAATAAACGTTTGTAGACCCACACAATATTACTAACCTGACATGAATTAAAGTTTTTAATTACTTAACAACCTCATTTATACCTACAATCAAATGTTAAAATTAAATTTCTAATTCCAAAATGTTATAATTAATTTGTGGAAAATGCATTAGCCTGCAACTCTTCTTTTAAATTCTTAATATATTTCATTGTTGCAACTGTTTTTCTTAACAAATCTTGATCATCGCACTCAAGCTGATCGAGTTCTTCTAATAAACGCATCAGGTTTTCATGGATTATGTAGTAATCGATAGAGTCTCTTGTTCCCAAATAAGACTTAATATCACCTTCAAATTTTTTAGCGTTCGAATAAATCTGCTTAACGTGTTGAATCTTTTCTTTACTTGGAAAGTCATCACGTTTAAAACTGATGAAATGACTATCAATATTTAAAACATTTTCATATGGTGTCTTCTTGAATGCAAATTCTGCCACTTGCTTGTTCAAGGCGCATAACATAGATTTAATTTCTCCCAAAGCTATTTTCTTTTGAGAATTGACTTCTTCAATGTCTCCAGGCACGTCTTCAAGGTTTTCTTTCACAATGAAAACTTCTATAATTTTTTCAATGCATGTAGGAAAAGTGTCTGAGACCATAACATTTTGCTCAAGCCATTTAATTTCATGAGTGACAATATGATTTACGTTTATTTTTACTTTTTCACTTAGAAGTTTATTTTTAATGTTGGGTAGAATTTCTAATGCATCCTGTGCAGCAATCTCTGCTTCAAGAGAATTTATTCTATGCTCACACTCCTCCAAATCTGTTTTCTTCAAATTTGTGACATTGTTTCGTGGGAGATGATCAATCGTATTTATTAAAGAATTGACGCAGTGATACAAGTCCTCCATTTTTGTTAAAATTTGATCGTATTGTTCAAAAAACGTATCAAAAACTTTTGTCAGTGCGGGAATATTTTCAACTGGACTTTTATTTGTAATATTCTCTCGTATCTTTGACCGTTGTGTCAAAAGTATATGCTTTTCCTTCTGAAAATTTTGGTTTACTTTTAGATGATATAATTGTTCAGTCAACGTTTCGTATTTTTTGGTAAGTTCAACCACTATAGATGAGAGTTCCTTAAACTGCTTTTCGTAAAAGGTATTCTCAAAATTATGCAAGCTCTGTAGAGCTTCCATTCTTTTTACAGTAATTCTAGGACTAAAACTTTTGATTGCTTCAATCCTTTGTCTGTATTTATTAAATACATGTATCGCGATTTCTGGTATTTGTGGAATTTTAGCTATATCTTTTCGAATACTTTCTAGTTTTTCCAATTCTGACATAATTTTTTCATTTTCATCTGCTCTTTTTTTCAAAGTCTCCAACGCGACTTCGATTTGACTTTGAAGAAAGTTTTTTCTGGTTTTAAAGAAAGAATTGTTTCCAGAAATGCAATCTAAACAGCTACCCATTGCACGAATCTCGCTTGCCTTTGCTTTAAATTTTGCATTTGTCTTCGGAAAAGCGAAATGTTGAGCATAATTTTGATAGTCTTCTATGACTCGGAGTTTCTGTCTTGAATAAACTGCGGCTTCTGCGATGATAAAACCTAATATTCTGTTTTGAATTTCCATTTTGCGTACACGTGTTGACTGATTTGGTGTGTTTATTTTTTCTATTTCTTCTTTTAACTGTATTAATTTAAGTTTTTTTTCGTCGAAAGACGAATATGTTTCGAGTATTTCTGAAATTTGTGTTTCTTTGATGTTTAAAATTTCGTTACTATTTCCGAAGTCCTGTGCGTATGTTTGTCTAGGTACAACTTCTGTAACAAGTTTTTCCATTTTATTTCTTTCTAGGTGACCACCGACGACTTGATTTGCACCAGATGAATGCTTGCCTAAAACTTCTGTAGTCTCTTTTACAGAGGAATTTAGAAATAATTTTAGTAGAATAAATCCAAAATAATTATTTTTTTCCTGGGGCCATGGGCTTTGGTTGATTATCTCCAGTTGTTGCATAAAGTGATTTAAAATTTGTTTGTAGTCTTTAACATCAACTTTGTTGTCTTGTATTCGTCTTGCATTTTCTATCACAGATTGTTTTATACGATGGATTTCCTCCTGATCTACGAAAAATAAGTACAATTTGCAGAGATATGGTACGATCTTTTGTATTATGAAAAATAATTTTTTCACTCACTTTTAGGACCGGATCCAATGCTTCCCAACGGCTGGTTTTGCAATTTTATTTTTACCACTTGTATCATATTTCCAAGTTTGGTAGACTTTGCATGCCATCTCTGGGTTGTTGCTTTTTTTCTTGTTTGCTGTATGTAAACATCAAAAATTTCTAATAACAGAACTTTTGAGTATGGTAAAATGAAAAGTTTTTCTGTGTCTAGTATTTGGTTGAATTTTATCACATTCCTTTCTATTTCGTCCAAATCACTCATATCTGTGGAAAAAGTTCTGTTAAAAATGTCTGAAAGTGAGCATTAAGTTGAACAGTGATGAGAATTAGGAGGTAGTGCACACCTGTTAGATTAAACCACTTCTTTCCAAGAAATTTCTGTATTTGACTCACTGGAGTTTATTAGTCAGTTTTAAACCATAAAAAGAAGTTGATACGAATAAATCAAGTCATATGTCTGAAGTACTTAAGTGTAGATAATAAAATTCTCTAAAAAATACAACGTTTTTATCTGCGATAAGATAAAATTTACTATCAGGTGTTTCATACTTGATGATTTTTTTGATAAAAGCATTCCTTGTCTTTACTATGTCATTGGCTATTTATTTATGTCAAAAAATGGAGGCGACAAAACAAAATTATTGTAGAGTATATTCTGCACGAGTTGTGCAGAAGTTAGAGAAAAACACAACTGCAATAGAACAAAATATGATAAATACGTTTTTGCATTCATGACATTTTTTATTCGTTGCCAAAAATTCTGTACATAACAGTGTACTAAAGTTTCCTTTGGGATAAAAATAAAAAAAAAATATTCGATCAAGAAGACAAACCATCTATTATGATCCGTGACATAACGCCCTGGTTGTTATGGTTTTTGATTTATTTTGTATCATAGATATCATAATAATGATTGAGTGAAATATAAAAAAAGTAATAACTCACGTGTTGGAAGTAATTTTTAGAGATTCTCCGCCACTGCTTTTGAACGCATATGACGAAAATACACTGTTAATGTGTTTATATTTGGTCTGGCGCGGAGTCGCGGTAAATCGGGTGAACAGTCTGTTTATTAAGTTCAGTAATAAATCTAATTCGAGCTATGCTAATCATTTAATAAAAGAAAATCATAGATTTGAAAAGAAGTTCAAAATTTTACATGTTGAAAACAAACCTTTAACTCTCAGTTCTTCCCTCCTTTCAGAAATTCATTACAGGAAATGAGAATAGTTTTCACTTACAATGAGGATGACGGAAGAAAACCTTTATCTAATTAGAATTGTATTGAAAATGAACATCGTAACATTTTTATAATAAACTTATCTTATAATAATTATGCTTATCTATTTATATAATGTTAGTCCTGACAAAACGGGACGTGTTTAAGGTTTATACTTATAAGGCATTGGCTTGTAATTTTTTTTTCAAATCCTTTATATAATTCATCGTTTTAATTGTCTCCTGTAACAAACCGTCGTCTTCGCATTCAAGTTGATCGAGTTCCTCCAATAAGCGCATCAAATTTTCATGAATTATGTAATAATCAATGGAATCTTTTGTACCAAAATAGCATCTAATGCTTTCCTCAAATGTTTTAGCTTTCGAACAAATTTCTTTAACGAATTCTTCGCTTTCTTTGTTCGCAATATGTTTGAAATTAAGATTAGAGAAAAATTTTTCAATATTCAAAACATTTTCAGATAATATCTTTTTAAACGCAAATGCTGCTAGTGGTTCGTCCAAATCACGTAACAAGTGTTCAATTTCTTCCATCGCTAATTTCTTTTGATTACTCATTTCTTGGATTTCTCCACATATGTCTTCAATATTCTCTTTTACAGAAAATATTTTCACAATCTTTTCAGTAAATGTGCAATGTTTTGAACCAGCGTTTTCCTTAAGCAGCTTAAGTTCACTATTAACAATGTAATTTAATTTTATTGACGATTTTTTTATTGATATATCTTTTTTTATGTTCGACAGAATTTCCAGAAAGCATGCATGTGCCGTGTTTGCTTCAAATAAAGCTACTTTGTCCTCAAGTTCCTTTAAAGTTTTTTCCTGAACCGTGATGTTGCTTTGCGGAAAATTTTCCAGTGTATTTTTTAACCATTTTATGTTTGTTTTATAGTCATTAATTCTCTTCAAAGTATCCAAATATTGATTAAAATAATCACCAAAAACTTTCAATAAAGTGTGAACATTGTCAGGTGGACTTTTGGTAGTTATAATTTTCTCTACGTCTATCTGCCCTTTTAAAATTGTTGATTCCTGTTGAAACGGTTCATCAAGGTTCAAATTATGTAACTGTTTAGTTAACGTTTCGTACTTTTCGGTAAGCTCAGTCACTAAAGGTAAAAGCTCCTTAAAATGCTCTTTGTAAAAGTCTTTTTCAAGACTGTGCAAACGCTGTAGAACCTCCATTTTTCTTCCAATACTTCTAGGACTGAAACCTTCCACTTCTCCAATCTGCTGTCTGTAATGATTAAATATAAAAAATGTTGCTTTCTTATTCAGATTACTGTCAGTTATTTGTTTTTCAATGTTGTCCAGTTGCTCCAATTCCAATATAGCGTTTTCGTTTTCCTCAGCTCTTCTTTTCAAAATATTGAGCGTTTCATCAATCCGTTTCTGGATAACGGTTCTTCTCTCTCTGAAAAATGTATTGTCTTCAGGAATGCAATCTTTACAACTTGTCATTTTATTAATGTCGCTTGCTCTGACTTCATAGGTTTCAATTCTCTTCGGAAAAGCGAACTGTTGAGCATAGTTTTGATAATCTTCTATGGCTTTTAGTTTCTGTCTCGAGTAAACTGCAGCTTCAGCTATAATAAAACTAGACAGATTCTGTATAATTTTATTTTTGCGTTCAGTTACTGCCTCATTTGTTTCATCTATTTTGGCGATTTCTTGTTTTAACTCTTCTAGTTTCAGTTTTTTTTCAACAAATGTTGAATGCGATTCAAGTATGTCTGAAATCTTGGTTTCTTCGATGTTTAAAATTTCGTTCACATTTTTAGTAGGCATTCTTCTTGCGTTACTGTTTAAGTTTACTTTTTCCTTTTGTAATAAGTTGTCTGTTCCATTTGTACACGGTTTGTGTTTATTTTCCGTGGAAACTTGTGAATTGGTCAAATCCGTACTTGTGGTGTCTGGATTGCCTAAAATATGATATTCGAAAGTGGAACAAATAAATCCAATGTAAATTTTACAATTATAATTGAAAATGGTTTTATACTGCTGTTATTTTATTTTTTTCTTACCTTCATCAAGCTCGCCATTTTCGACTTTTTCAAGTGAAGTACGTAAGAACAATTTTAAAAGTATTCTTGCCACATGGAGTTGTTCGTCGTGATGAAAAGGGGATTGGCTGTTTTTTGTAACAACCAGCTCTGGAACAGCACGTTGTAAAAGTGTTTTGTAGTCGTCTACAGATATTTCATTATTTTGTATTTTATTTGTGATACCCAGAAAAACTTGTTTCTTAAGAGAAATGTCTCGAACATCTGTAACAAATTATATCAGGTAGTGTCTGCCCCGGTACGTCATGTTATTATTATTTACCGAATCTAATGTCGGGAAGCAGGCTTTCTTGTAATCGCATTTTTTTCAATTTTGTTTTCACGTCGCGTATGTTATTTTCAACATTGATATATTCTGGTGATACACTTCGAGAGACTCTGCATTTTTTTAATTTTCTGATCTGTTGTAAGTAATAATCCAGAACAGTCAAGAACTCATCTTTTAAGGGTTGTAGAATTGTACCTTCCGCATTTAGTTTATTCTTAAGGCTCGTCACACTATTTCCAATATCATTCAGTTCCTTTTTCGAACAAAAGACTTGCTAAAAATTAAACATAATTTCTAATTATGAAAAATTTTGAAGGTTTGTTTTTTTTACCTCAATTAATGTTGTCATGAAACCTTTTCCGTCATTTGTTGGCATTGTATGAACGCTTGTTGAACAACTTTAGATAACTGTCTGCACACTTGTTGGTTAAAAAACGTTGTTCGTTACCAAGTCTACCAAGTTTACAAAATTTTAGATAGGTTAAATTAGGTGAACACAAGAAACCATTTGAGCAATTTTCAACTACGTCAACTGTTAATCAACTCTTTTAGATAACAAAAATGCCTAAAGTAAATAATCTTAACAACATATAAACAAGATACGATAAGATAATGGTTGTGTTTGATTATTTACTACTGGAGAAAATTTTGATAAAACGGTTTCACCTAATTACTAATATTTTCACGTAGAAACCTGTAATAACATTTGTCTTACCGGTTTACCATTGCTCTATAATGGTCTAGATTTGAGATACGTTACTGAAAAATAATACGCTAGGGCATTAGGAATAGTTGCTATAGTAACGTCAACAGGAAACGCAATCGGCTGAAAATCAACTATTGCATAGTGTATTGTTGGTTGTGTAGATACGGCGCAAATTTATATTATTGAAACCACGATTTCCAACAACAGGTAAAATTTAATCTGGTTGCAAAAACTGGTAAAACATATTTTAATGGTTAATTCGCTCTTAAATCCAAGGAAATAAATCAGTTCTACTGGAATACCTAAATCCAACCAATAAAAGAATGTGCGAAAATGACTTTTTTGTAAATATCAAAAACTACACGGTAACATATAATTCCTATAACTGAATGCTATGAAACTTTGGATATGTTTTAAAGTTATTGTAAGGATGGTAAATTTGTGTTCAAAATATATCTGTTTATCACCTCCAAAAAATTAATGACGTCGTCTCAAAATTTTACCGAATAAATCCTGTCTAAAATGTATCAAATATGACGTCCAGAGTTGTGATTTATCACAGCATTAATATTTGTTACAATTGTTTATACAGAGTGATTCAAACAAATTAATGAATGAGCCAATCTATTTTATTGAACAAATCAGGAACGGCTCACTCCACTGCCCCGAAAATTTGGGAACAATACTGTTATTATTAGTATTCCACTACACAAACATACTAAAGGGTTATACCGGTAAAACCTTTTTTAAAAACATTTTCTTCAACTTCTGTCGAATTGGTCATTAGATCATAGTGACATTCTACGCGTATTATGATTGTCATCACTGACTCATCAGTCACAAATAGAGTAAATATATATTCTAATGGAGGTACTTATCAATCGATATCAACCAAAAATAACTATTGGTGTCCAACATCGGTTGCTATATTTTCCACACAACCTAGCATGCTAATTATTATTGTACAGAATAATTGAGGGAATATACTTGAAGATAGTAGTAGTTGCTGAACTTGGGGGATGCGTGTGGGCTCCTCACACAAAATTACCTGTTTATTGGACTCTTTCGAAATTTTTGAATTGGTGAAACAACTGTCTAGGATGTGAATGGTTTTTTAGAATAAGTTATCAGCGAGAGTCTGAAAATCTGTTCATTATATAATTATTTTGACTTTGGTGTTTTGGTGCCATTCCTTTGAGTATTATTATTATATATATAATTGTTTTTTTGCTTTTTCATATTTTATATGTATCCTCAGGGGTTTCTACGTCATAGTTGTACGTATTCCTTAGTTTCCTACATACGTAGTCCAGGATGCACTATCAAGATTTTTACCCTCCAACTGTGTGTCTCCACTTACGTAAATTACTGTTACGTTGATCGGTGAATTAAAATCGGTGTGGGTTAAACTCAACAATGTATTTTTTAGTAACTCGAATTTACACGACTAATTACAGAACGATTATGTACAAAATAATCCCGACGCAAGTTAACAGGATCTTCTCGGCACTCGCTGGACTCGACTCGATTGAATTCAGCTTTCGTTGTCTGTTCGGTTCCCATTTAAACAGCCGCTTTCAGGCTCTTCTCCGGCCACCGTCACGGACAGTGAGTCATCGTCGCCGTATATACGAGAACCCATAGGCGTCGTACCGGGGCGGCGTATGGGTTTATTTCGTAACATTACTTTTATCCATCTGTCATCTCTGTCGACAACAGCGATATCAAGCTATGTAACTTCCTGTTTTATTATACTTGTGTCCAAACTGTAGCTGCAGTTGTGGGTTTATTCAACAGCTTCAAGACGGTGAAACTTGCTTTTTTGGTTGCTGCTAAAGTAGCTTCGCTGTAAATCCGCAGGTACAGTTATTACTCCCGTATTCACATTTTCACCTACTCTTTCTTCTCCATATTCCTTAGTTCTTTTAATATAATCGTATACATTTCCTGCGGCGTCGTTTTAACAACACCGTATTTTCGTTTTACTACGAGAGTTTGAGTGGTCTGAATAGACCTTAGGCTTTCCTGAAATTGAACATCGTCGTAGCCTATGCAGAACTATGGATTTTTGTTATCCAAACATAAAAAAATTAAGTTCCAGAAGTTGTTATTAATAGGACTACAATGATTCACACTCCCCTACAAGGCAAGAATTTTACTAAACATCGTCAAGGGTAAACTGAAGCATTTAAAAGATCGCCAATCTCATATTTATAGAGATGGAGAGTGAAATAAAAAGCTTGATGTTTTTGCATTTTTTTCAACAATTGCTGCACTTTTTATGAATTTTACTTTACTTTATCATAACCCTGTATATATATTTCTAATTTCTTTCCTAGTTGACAGATCATGGAATCTATATTTAATTGCTCTTTACAACGAAATGATTCTTTAATACATCCTTTTTGTTCTTTATCGATGGTGTCCCATTGAAAACAGTGTTGACAGATTTTTTGTGTTATGTATGGAGTTAATATTTTGTAACTTGTGATAGGTCTGCATTTTTAATAATAATAATAATAATTAGTAATTTATTATCCAACGGGCAGAAGCCCATCTAGGAAAAAATAGTACATGTGTTTCTAGCTACATAATCACATAAATAGTAATATAGTACAGATACTTTAAGAGTAGACATAAACATTAAAATGAATAAAGAAATAAAATCTTACAACGGATCAACAAACTAAAAATTAAAGAAAAAAAATTTACATTTATCAGAGAATTGATGCAATGTCATACCGAACAAATCCAGAGACTGCCTATACTTATTATATAACCGTTGCATGTGAACTAATGGGGAGTAAAAATGTTGATTTGATTTAACTATATTACAATGGAAAAGCATAGGTTGTCTTACATTATTTGATCTGGGCACTAATATATGTATGTATTCTAGTAAAGCGCTATCTTGTATGATATTATGAAAAATTTTGAATAAAAACATAAGTAAATAATAGTCTCTTCTTGCAGATAGTGGTACTAAGTTTAATTGCCGCAAAAGTATATCATGAGGATAATGTAGTGTTGGATATCTACCATATTTCTTAAAATAAAGATATTTAGTAAACTTTCGTTGTACTCGTTCTAAAGATGTTATGTGGGCAATATAATAAGGACTCCAGACAACTGAGTTGTATTCTAATGTGATGGATCTTACATATGAGTTATAGAGTTGCATAATGCAGTTCATGTTACTAAATTCACGAGAATTTCTTACAATAAAACCCAACGTACGCATGGCCTTATTAATAATATAATGTACATGAGGTACAAAAGACAAAGTTGTATCCATAATGAGACCTAAATCTTTAAACTCCGTACATCTTTTTAAAGAACCATTTAGCATATTATAATCAAAAAAAATATTACAATTCTTGCGGCTATAAGTCATAATTCGGCATTTGTCTCTGTTCATAAACAACCTATTAACATTACACCAATCGACAACACTGTCTATGTTACGTTGTAAAATTAGACAATCTTTTATGTTATCCACGACTTTGACTATTTTAAGATCATCTGCATATAATAAGATTTTACAGTCGGGACTTACACTTTTAACAATATCGTTTATAAATATGACATATAATAGGGGACCTAAATTTGAGCCTTGCACCACTCCGGATGGACAATCGTAAACAAAAGATTTGTGACCACTATATTCTACAAACTGTTTTTGATCAGCAAGTATAGATCTAACCAAAGACACCAAATTATTACATAAGCCAAAAGATTTTAATTTGTGTAACATAATCCTGTGATTTACCTTATCAAATGCTTTTGACAAATCTGTATAAACAGTATCAATTTGCAATCTTAGGTCTAAAGAGGATGAAACAAAATGTATAAATTCACAAAGATTAGTACTGGTTGATTTACCTTGAACAAATCCATGTTGGAAGTCGGATATTTGATGTATAACATGTCTATAAATAATCTTAGATAATATGGTCTCAAACAGTTTTGCGAAATTATGTATGATAGCTATCGGTCTTTAATTAGTAACATCTTTATTTGATCCTGATTTAAATATTGGACAGACCTTCGCTGTCTTCCAAACAGATGGAAAAACCGCCGACTCAACAATTAGATTGAATAAATAACACAAAGGTTTTGCTAAACATGAAATACAGTCACGAACAAAGAAAGCAGGAATGTTGTCAGTACCCATCGTTAAGTTAGGTCTTATCTTCCGACTAGCTTCAATAATGTCATTTTCCGTGATATGAAATTTGTGTAGCACTGGTATATTAAAATCACAACCAAGAATTTTGTCACATATCAACATATCACAGTCACACATATCGCAGACAGAATGATCGCAATTGGACATATCACAGCATTTGGAATCACCTGATAGAGGAGCTGTAGAAGAATCACAGAAAACGCTAGAAAAGTGTATATTTTGAAGGATATGTTGTGTCATCATCTTTAGGTTTTAGATATGTTACACCATGACATAAAAACGTTGGAAATGTAGATGGGTTTGGCTGCTTGAGTAAATGAAGGTGTATATAATCGAATTTTTTGATCCAAAAATGATGTATTTACATTCAGTCCTATATATCCCCAAATCAGCACAGCTTTCTACCTGGTAAGTCCACAGTAACAAATTTAATAACTATTACTCAGTTTATATGTGAGTAGTTAGATAATGCTCGTCAAGTGGATGTTGTGTATACTGATTTTTCCAGTGCTTTCGATATGGTTGATCATGGCTTGCTACTAAACAAACTTACATCATTTATTGCTCTTATTAAGTCATACTTCTCAAATCGAAAAAACTATATATTTTATAACCGGTTTACATAGACATCAGGTGTACCGCAA